ATGACGAACCGGTTTCCTATTTCCTGTAGGATAACGGAATTTTGTGAAATCAAGGGCAGGTGGTTCCCGCTTCCTAGATTTAGGATGAGGAGTCGCCTCTCGCCCTTGAACTGGCGTCCTCTTCAGTGAAGTGGAGGGTTTCTTGGCCGACTGCTCCTTGACAGAAGCAGGCGGCTTCTTGTTGATCAACTCTTGAATCTCTCCCTTGAAGTCCCTCATGAAGGTCATGAGTTCGTTCCTTGTGATGGGAGCAGACCCATCAGTCGGCTGTTGCCGAGCAGGCGGTGCGCCTTCTGGCTCGCTTCCTGTTTGAAGATGCTCCCGTTCCCTCCTTTCGGTATGACGGGTACGTCGGGCCCTTAGGGTCCCGTCTGGAGCTGTATGAGTTTCAACTTCAAATTCACTTTCGGTGTCATGGTCCGACTGAACTTGAGGGTCGTTTAGGGGACGCCTCTCTTCAGGAGTCGGTACAGACTTGGATGCCATCTCTGAAGTACTCTCCCCACAGACGGCGCCAAATGTTTCGGGGTCTTCTGATGTCCTGCGGGAGAGTTACAATTCCGAGACTGGAACCGGACGCCTGTACCTGCAAAATAACGGAGACTCCTGGGAGCTCCGCCTCCAACGGTCAAGTTAGTACCTGATTAAGGAGTAATTAATGCGGAAATTAAAGTAATAAGGTCTCTCTAGGTGAGAGTGTTTAATGTTGGTAATCTGCTTTGTTAGCGAGATCAGCCGGTTGTTAGTGTGTTCCGTAACGTTTCTGTTCTGTTTTTTCCCTTAATGAGGATTAATTAAGTATTTATAGTCTTGAGAAGCGTGCCACTCTCTAGGTTTAGGGTAAACCTAGGGCTGACCGGGCCTCTAAACAGGATTGGGCCTTGTTGGCCGGTTTTCCCATTTGGCATGGGTGGACACGTGGCGTGTCTCAATTGGTCCGTAGAGGACATATCTGTGATTGACACGTGGCAGGCTCCTATTGGCCTACGTGAAGGACACGTGGCGGAACCTGGTTGGTCCACTTGTCAGACGGTGATTGGTGGATAAAAATCCCCTAATCAATATATATATATATATATATATATAAGCACAATAATATATATATATATATATATATATATATATATAAAGCATAAAATAGATGCATTTGGCAACTAGCATGATCCCTTGAAATCTTCAAATCTTCAAGGGTCTTCATCTTGGCTCGTCTTCATCGAAACGCCGTCTTGAGAGATCTTCGCCAAAATAAAATTACTAGCTACTACGACTAAGATTAATCTAAATATTAAGGTACAAAAATACTCAACGGTACGCAGACCGTATTTAGATTTACAAAAATACGTAACGGAATGCAGTCCGTATTTTCTATCCTAGTCGGGTCCCACTAGTTGCCATTTTCACGAAACCTGTGAAACAAGCTTTCATTCACCCATTCACTATATGTGAATGGTCCATGCATTTTACGAAGAAAAACAAGTAATAATGCACAACACGCGAAGACTAGTAACTAACTTAGGTGTTAAAACTAGTCAAAGTTGTTTAATATATTATGTTTATTAAGGCGCAATTTGTTCACGAAAAAATTCAAGCTCCCACTAAATTCCGCATCCAAATTAGTTAATCTAATTAATTATGCCGGTAAACTGAAATTTTGTCAAAATTAAAATTTTGCAAGAGCCGGAAAAATCGAGGTCTAACCTCGATAAAATAATTAATTAAAATTATAACGGCAAAAATTTTACAAAAAACGATAGCCCAAAAATCAAGCAAAATAGCCCACCCTCATAATACGAAGGGTGCGCACCATGGCTGCTAGGCAGCCCATGTGTTGCGCCTGCTGTGCTGGGTGCCAGCATCCACGCCCAGTATAGCGTGCTACGCCAGCCAGCACTAGCAGCTCGCTACGCATGCTAGCTTGCTAGCTGGTGCCTAGCAGCGTATGACAGGCTGGCTGGGGCTTGCTGCCATGCTGCCCAACAGCTTGCCCAAGCAACTCCAGCAGCCCAGCCACGCACCTAGCACAAGGCAACATGCAACATCCTCGCCACACGGCACAGCAGCACCTCGAGGCTTAAGCACCCTTGTGCGCACCTCGAGGCTTAAGCCCGGCTAGCCTTGGTGACGCTTGGGTGTTTTTGCCTCGATTTGCATGTCGTTTCTCGGGATTTTAATCCTGAATTACGTGTGACATAAAATTAATCCTAAATTTATTTTAGAATCAATTTAGGGCAAAAATGAAATTAAAATAAGTCCAACTTAATTAAATTTAATTTTAATGGTGCACAAGCCTAAATCATCCAAAATTGCCCTTTGAATTAATTTAGGTCTTTCTTGATGCTTTAAAATTGAAGGGCCACACCCAAAATTAATTTAACCCAAATTTAAATTAATGATGAGTTTTGACAAAGTAGGGAGGTGGAAAATAAAACCAATCATCCAATGAAAATTTTTTCAACTTTTAACTTGTGTAAAATAATAAAATTACATCTTCCAATATGAAGATTAATCAAAATTTAATCACAAGTACTTGAACTTTAAGGACTTTAATCAACACAATAATGATTAAATAAAAAATTAGTTCAATCATGGAATTTAGAGTAAAAGTTCCAACCATTTAAACACTTAAAGATTGGATCTTTAATATACAAGGGAATTACAATTTTCCTTCACAATAAACATTCACACTTTAATGCAATTGATTTGCATAATTGTGAAATAATAAGTTTATGTGAGAAATTGAACATACCAACTTAAGAACACATTATGACTTCATAACCATGCTTAAAAGGGTTTAAAATTTCTGTAGATTAGGGATGCAACAATGCATTTAATCTACCCTTGACATGCATAAATTAATCAAGGCATAAAGATTTAAAATTTTTCGTCAAAAACGAAAAACCCCTCAAAAAACATATTTCTGGGAGGATTTGGAACATCGATTCCACCCAAAAATAACTATTTTTGAGTCGAAATCTGGGTTCGTCAGCCAAAACGAGAAAAATACGAGTTTCAAAATTAATTAAAACGAGCTTCTAATCCAATTAGAAAACACAACCAGAAATTAAATCCATTTTAAATCACCTTAATTAATTACAAATTGCAATAATTAAAAAGAGCGCGGCTCTGATACCACTGTTGGGTTTCGTAGCGTCCAACGCTACGCGGAGGAGAAACCCGCCCCAATAATTAAAGCAATAAAGCATCCATAAACATAATTAAACAATAATTAGGAAAAGGGAGAAACAAGTAATACCCTTGAAGCGTGCTTCGCTCGTAAACCGACCTCTTACTTCGAAGCTTAAAACCTCACAGGCGTGATGGTCTCCAACGACTCGTACCCACGACCCGACCCGAACAATCTTCGTCTCGAGGGTTAGTCGAGACTTGACCAAGTATAAAACTAGAGTTTTACGAACTTAAAGGTTTTCTCAATAATATGAGATGCCTTTTTGAGTTCCACTCAAGTTGATTTCCAAATGCCCAATCTTGGGGTATTTATTGGGAAATGCAACTTGCACTCCCATTCATGATCAATGTAGGATAGTTGCATTTTTATCTAATTTATTTAAATAAAAAATAAATTTTAAAACAATGCAATCAACAATCAACAAGCGGCATGAGGAGAGGAGAGGTTGGGTGAGGACCATAACCATGGGGGGAGACCATTGCCTTTCTCCCCAAGACATGGCTCTAAGCCTTGGTTCCCACTCTCCTTAAACCGACATCAAGCAAGAGGGGGGGGGGGGTAAGCTGGCTGCCAGCCTTGCTGGCCAGCTTGCACTGCCAACCCAGCATAGCTAGCACGCACCAGCCAGCACGCCTAGCGCATGCGTGCTGCTAGCAAGCCACGCACGCTGCTGGGTGCTGGGCAGGCACAGCGTGGCACACGCACACACTCACAACAAGCACAGCGTGCTGCTGCTGCTTGGTGCTGTGCTATGCGAAAGCATGCACACGCAAGTATGTAGTGCTAGCGATAGTGCGCCTAGCACACATGGTGCGTCTAGGCTTGTGCCTAGCCATGCAAAGTGAATGCTAGCTCAAGCTAGCCTAGCTTCCACATGGCTAGGCCATTGTGATGCTACGACAACTCTCGAACTTGTTGCTTGTTGATTTTACGACGCTTGGTCTCGACACCCTAGGCTCGATATCCGACGTCTGTGTTCGTAATACTCTAGTGACTCATCAAATCCTTCGAATTGATTCGTTGGTTCGGATCGGCAGTTTGTTTGGGTTCGACCAGAAGGGTTCAGTCAAGACAAAGTTGTAATATTAATTATTCATCAATATTACATATCAAAAGCGGCCTCCACCCAGGCATTCCGATCACTTGATATCACTGAAGAATTAGCTTCCTGATAATTCTGAACCCTCTATCAGAATAATACACTTGTTGGAAGGACACTATTCCTTTCAATTCGGGCCTTTGTTGGCCGTTTTCTTAGGTTGGCAATCTGCGCGCCACGTGGAGTGGCTTGGTTGGTCCATGTTGGACCTCATCGAGTATGACACGTGGCAGTCCCTGATTGGTCCACATGGCTGACACGTGGCAGGGGGGCCGATTGGACCACGTGGCGGGGAAAAATCCCCTAAACATTTGCCCCACACAGGGGTCACGTGACTCGTCACGTGATGCCTATGACAGGTGTCGGCTCGTAACTGGGCGATGACATGTGACGGGTGTCGGCCTGTGGTAGGCCGTCTGTTTTTTCCCGCCTATTCTTGAATTTAGGGTGTGACCCTTCAAATTCTAGGATAACCCTATATAAGGGCGTTTGACCAAAGTCTTGTTCACATTTTGTGAACTTTGCAAGAGAACTCGGAACCCTAAACTTGTGCTCTAAGACTTCTGGACGACTGATAATCAACCGACTGTTTACGTTAGTCGACTGTTTGTGGTGACCGGCAGCTTAAGACTTCCATCTCCTTTATCAGAGAACATACTTTAGGTAACCGTGTGCTCTTGCACTTTTCATTTCTTTGCTTTTTCTTTTGAAAATATGGTATCCCAAAAGCACCCAATACGACCTAAGTTAGGGATTAATCGGTCACCGAGGACGGCTGAATCTAGGGCTAGGAGTGCCTCCTGCCCCTTTTTGTACCCATCTCTGCCTTGTGCTCCAAGTCCGACTGTCTCTGTGTCTGTGCAGGACACTATGGCCAGAACAAAGAGGAAGACCAGATATACAAATTCAAACGGCTTCTCATATTATGTTCAGATGAGCGAGCTCTCGGACCGGTCTCCTGGTGACCCGAGCACTCCAAGTGATTCAATATTACAGGAATTTGAGGTTCAGGAGACCAGTCCTATGGTTGTGGATATGTCCGAAAAAGAGCCGGCCCTTATCGAGAAAGAGGAGTCGACCTCTTCTGAGAGCTTGAGCGACACTGAGTCCAGCTCATCCAGCCGACATTCCCCAGATTTAGAAGAGAGACATTCTCGTCTTCATGAGGCGAGTGCATCTCACGCTGTTGTAAAGAGGGACGACTGGGCTCAGTCGTCTGTTTCTCATATGGAGTTGAACACTCCCTACTATTTCCATGTCCCAAAAGGCCGAATTAAGGCCATGGCTGAGAGATTAGGGACCTTTTAGGCGGACCATGTAATGGGCCCTGATTATTCTCTATAAGTTTCGGATGTTGAAGATACAGTAGTCTGGCCTGAGGGGACCAGCTATGGGGACGCCTGTTTTGGCTGCTATGAGGCGGCCATTAAGGCTGGGTTAAGATTCCCCTTGCATCCGGCTGTTCAACAAATCCTAGATGGGTACCAGGTGGGGCTCTAGCAGTTGGCCCCAAACTCATGGTTCAACATTTTGGGCTTTGTGGCCGGCTGTGAAATGTATGGGGTTGAACAAAATTTTGAAGTGTTCGCCCAAATGAACTATCTGAGTCGGATCCCAAAAGCAAGCGGTACCGGCTGGTACCAGATTTCCAGCCTTAAGGGCTATTTGATGACCAGGGGGAAGGAGAACAAGTGGAAGGACTAGAGGAACACCTTCTTCATTTTTTCCAGCCCCAACAAACTTTTAAACAAGAGGTACAACAGGTGGAACAGGGATCCACCTCTCCTTGAAGGCGGCTCTGGCCTACCGCTTGTTCCTCGTCAAGCCAGGGAAGAGATCCTTGATCGAGGACTCTTCAAAGTAGAGATCAGGGCCAACCCTGATACGGGAGACCGAGAGCTTATCCCCTTTTAATGCATACCCAAATTCAATTGGTTGTATGATGAGTATTTCCTGGCCGCCTGTGGCCTTAGTGAACGGACCACTAGAGGTAGTCGGCCCTTTTTATGTTCTTGAATTTTTTGTTTTGCTTGAATTTTTACTAACTCTGTGATGCATTTTGTAGGTGAAGCCATGGACAAAATCTCTGCTTCTAAGATGGCGGCCGCCCTCCTTCGCGTGGCTATTATTAGCCAAAAGCGGCCCTTTACTGACTCTCCCTCAAAGGAGAAGTCCAAGGTGAGCTTTCAAAACTTGTCACATTCTGTGTTTTTCCCTTTTTGATCATACTTAATAACTTTGACTTCTTGTCGCAGAGTGGGGTACCCAGATCCTCTCCCTCCCCAAGGTTCGGAAATAGACGGCTGGGAGTACGCCTGGTTCTACCAGGAAGCAGGCGGCTGAAAAGCAGGCGCAGACCCCTCAAAGTGGGTAAAAACAAACAACCTTCCCTAGGGACACTCGGCCTCCAAGAGGTATAATTGGTTTTAGATTTCTTTTTCAATCTTTCTTAGATCAGGCGGCTTGTTGCTTTCCCCCCTGTCTAATTTTCCATGCTCCCTATTGCAGGCGGCCATCAGGAGCCGGACTTGGTCCAGATGGCCAAGTTTATAGTCAAGGCCATTCCCTCAGATGATAGGGAATCAGTCAAGGGAGTCGGCACCCTTGACTTGGACTCTATCATGGGTCTACTCTCTGAGGTAGACTTAATGAAATTTCTTCGACATTGGGCAACATTGGCTTTTAACTGCCGTCTATTTTTTTGGAGAATTTTGACGCCTGTTTTTTTGTTCCGCAGGCCTTTCTTCGTGTACATGGTTTCCGCCGACCCATCAGCGAAAAGAACAAGGAGGTAAAGGCTGCGAAGACCATGGCCGCCTCTGATTGTGACCGGGCAATGTTTCAGATTGTCCAAATGAAATTTTGACAACTGACATTCTGTATTATTAGGCGACTGCCACCTTGCAGGTCAAAACCGAGTTAAAGGCGGCCAAGAAGAAAAACTTGGAGCTGGAGAAGGCGGTCAAAGACCTTCAAAACCAGCTGCAGCCGGTGAAACATATACACCATGCGGCCGAAGAGCTGCACAGATTGAACAAGAAACTCAAAGAGCGCCTGGTAAGACAGGAGGCGGCCCTGACCCAGCAACTCAGCGCTAAGGCTGAGTCCGAGAAGATGGCTCTGTCCCAAGATATGATGGAGGACTCTACCGCCATTATGAAGATGACCTGGACTGCCCTCTTCCCAGACTCAGGCTATGAGCAATGGGAGTCCAAATTCGCCGCTTGCACTGAAGAATATAACATCAAGATTATGCAGCAGGCAAACGATCAGGATGAAGAGAAGGATGAGGCGGCCGACTCCTCTTCTGATGGTGAGGACGAGGATGAAGAGGAGGAGGAGGCGGACATCGACAAGGGGGAGACAAAGAAAGAGGAGGCGGACGCCAATCAAGAACAGGCGCCTGCTAATGAGCCACAAGAGAGTGTGCTAGAGGAGCAGGCGCCCATTGCCGAAGCTGATCAGGTGGTCACCGTTACTGAAACCCCTCTCTTCAATGCTTAAGCTGCTTATTTTTCAACTCTCTTCGGCTTGTGTGGCGTTTGTTTTTTTCTTGTATCTCTTTACCCGACCAAGGGGTCGGGGTTTATGAATATTTTTGCCAGCCTCCATGGCCGGCTGTTTATGAATGAATTTTGGCGACTGTTTTGTCGTTCTGTCCAGCAATCTTAATTTTGTTATTTCCCTTTGCCAAGTGTGGAATGTCTTCAATAGCCGCTTGTTTATTATGCTGACTGTTCTTTCTTGTTTTCTTCCTTTTTGCATCAAAATTTGCCATTTTAATGTTGCTAAGTATAGGAGATCATCTTAGTAGTTGCTGTCACAGCCGGCTGTTATTGTTGCCCCTGGCCGATTGATTGTATCTTTATCAATCAGTCGATCATGAGTTCAGTCGGTCTAGCCTTGAAAGTGTAGGATAGCAGACTTTCCGGACTTGGTGTAATTTCCAGGAATATTACCCAGGCCGCTGCGCTTTGGCACAGGCGGTTGTCTTGAGGGTTTTGAGCAATGGTCGTAGTAAGCGTAGTTGAGGAGCTAAGTGCCTAGGTCTTAGCATGATTCCTCAAACTTTAGTTCAAGTTGCACAATGGTAGTCAACGATCGACTTGGTCCATTGTGGGTAGCCGCCTGATGTCTTAGAAAAGCCAGCCGACTGTATGTGTTAGAAAAGTAGGTACAATTTCTACGACAGTTGGCCTTGGGGCGCCACCTAGGTGGTTGGACGCTAGGTTAGTTTAACCATTTATCAAGTTTGAAGGAAACATGCCGTCTGTATAGGTTTCAAAGAACGACGGGACGCTTGTTTTTATGGGACCCTCTTGTATCAGCTACAGGCGTTCTTTTATTAGGTCTGGATGGAATAATGGTGGATGACCGCCTGTTAGAACATGCGGTCCTTACATACCATTGGTTCCATTCTAGGGAGGACGACTGGTTATCCCGTCACCCCTCTTTTGTTTGAGTAGTAGGAGGGCCAAGCAATGGAGGCCGCTTGACTTCCTTCATTTGCCAAAGTTTGCTAGGCTATTAACCCAAGTTATGCCAAAATGTTTCGGCAGTTTACAGGGCGTTTGATGTTTGGTGGAGTCAGGACGTCTGTTCATGTGGACGAGGCGCCTAGTCTGGACATCTACGCCTGTATTGATGGACCTAGTTGGAATAGTGGCCAAGTACACTTGTTTTCCAGAAAACAGATGTTGTTGTACCTTTTAGGTTCCAACTAGAATGGGTGACTATGAGTCTCTCTCGGGGCTACTCAATCTCAGCCACTGATTTGAGTAGTAGAGGTACCATGCGGTGTAGGCCGGCTGGACCCCTTGATTCGCCAAGTTTTTCTTGGCTATTAACTTAAAGGTACCGTCTGCATTTATCCCAAGTAATGACAGGCGGTCATCCGACTCAAATGTGAACTGACTACCACTGGTTCGGCTAGTAGCAGAGTTATCTTTGTCTCAAGTGTAAACGGTTACGGGGTTGTCCTTGGGGACAATCGTTCAGGTCCGTTTGTTTCTTGTTTATAGAGCATTATTCCACCCAAAAGGGAGCTGCTCTCTGCGACGAATCTCATCCGGAGGGATGTCGCCGGACGCCTGCTATGATGTTGGGACAGGTCGTATTAGTTTAATTTTTAGACAGGATCAGTTGGCCTGGTGCCTGGGCTGATCATCCGGCCATAGGCCTCGTTTAGTTCGTGGTGAACGTAGGTGCTAAGTTACCTTAGACTAGAGTGTAGGAGAGTAGCCGTCTGTTTTGGGTTCAGGCAGCATGCCCCTCAAATTAGAGAGAAAAATACATTTTGGAGAGTAGTCGACTGTAAATGTACAGGCGACCTATCCCTCTGATAACTACAAGGTACTAAAAATAATTGCAAGTTTTATTAATAACCCTTGTACAATTACATTATTCAGAAGTAATACTTCTTCTAAGTGTCTACATTCCATGTTCTAGGTAGGAGCCGACCGTCTAGTGTTTCTAGGCGATAAGTGTCGTCTCTAACCTCTTAATGGATCCGGTAGGGTCCTTCCCAGTTGGGAGTTAGCTTTCCCAACTCATTGGCTCTACCGACTGCTCCCATCATTCGTAGTACAAAGTCCCCCACTTTCAGTGGACGTCTGTGTACTATCTTGTTATAAGTTCTAGTCATTCTCAGACGGTATATCTCATGGCGTAGGGCTGCGTTGCCTCTACGCTCGGGGAGTGAGTCCAATGCTAAGCGCATGGATTCCCAATTGGTCGCCTCATCATAAGCATGACACGAAGAGTCGACTCATAATGCTCAATGGGTAGAACAATTTCTGCCCCATAGGTCAAGAGGAATGGGGTTTCCCTAGTCGCCCCTTTTTCAGTCGTCCTTATGGCCTAGAGAACTTGTGGTAGTTCGTCTGCCCATAGGCCGCCTGCTTTTTCAATATTTTTCTTGATATCGTTAGAGATAATCTTGTTGAACGCCTCTACCTGGCCGTTTGCTTGGGGTCGGCCAACCGATGCAAAGTTGTATGAAATTCCTTAATCCCCAGCCTATTCTTGAGAACAGGCGTCTCAAACTGAGGACCATTATCAAAGACTATTGACATAAGCACCCCAAATCGTGTAATGACGTTCCTCCAAATGAATGAGATAACGTCCTTGGTCTTGATACCTTTGACAGCCTCGGCCTCTACCCATTTGGTAAAGTGGTCGACCGCTATCAGGATATATCTCCGTCTGCCAGTTGCAGGCGTATATGGACCCAAGACGTCCATGCCCCACTTGGCAAATGGTAAGGGGCTATGTATGGCCGTCAGATCAGTGGCTAGACGATGGATTAGCTAGCCAAATCTCTGACACTTGTCGCATTTTTTCACCATCTTCATAGCGTCTGCTTCCAGGGTCGGCCAGAAATATCTTTGCCGCCTGGTTCTACGAGCTAGGGAGCTACCGCCTATGTGGGAGGCGTAGTATCCCGAGTGCAAGTCTTCTAAGATCTCTCGCCCCTTTTCCGGGGAGACACATTTGAAGAGAGGTTGAAGATAGCCCTTTTTGAAGAGTTCCCCTTCATGCATTTCAAAGTTGACGCTCGTTTTTTTAGTAGGACCGCCTCTGAGTGAGTAGCTGCCAGGGTGCCGTCTGTTAGGTATGCCTAGATGTCATCCATCTAGGTGGAGCTTCTGTCTAGGATCCCAATATGGTCCTCCTCGATGCTTCATTTATCCATTACTTCCCAGAAAACCGTCCTTGGTGTGTCGTAGGAAGCTGATGATGCCAATTTAGAGAGGGCGTCCGCCTAGTTATTCTCAGACCTAAGCACTTGATTTAGGTGAAACTCTTCAAGTGTCCTGGCCTCCTACTTTACCGCCTGTAGGTACTTGACCGTAGCCGGATGTGTGGCTTCATAGTCACCATGGTATTGGCTTACGATCAATTATGAGTTTGAACAGGCGGCTATCTTCCTTGCCTTGGCCGCCTTACACATGCAGATACCAGCTAATAGGGCTTCATATTCAGCCTCATTGTTTGAGGCTTGGAACTTAAACCGTAGTGCATACTCGTACCTGTCCCCTTCAGGAGACTAACATATTACGCCTGCACCACAACCGCTCATTGTAGAGCTCCCGTCCACATAGACTTTCCAGACTTGCTCAAAGTTCTCTAGATCAGTCGGCCTAGTTAATTCCACTATAAAGTCAGCGAATGCTTGCCCCTTCATTGCTTTTTTTGGCTCAAAAGTGATCTCTAGACTTAGGATCTTGATGGCCCAATTGATCATCGGGCCTGACGACTCCATGTTTGTCAGTGGCCGCTTGATTGGCTGGTTAGTGTAGACCACAACCGGATGTGCCAGAAAATAAGGCTTTAATTTTTTAACTGCCAAGAAGAGGGCAAGGCCAAACTTCTACACCATAGGGTACCGTAACTCGGCGTTCTTTAGGACATGACTAATGAAGTAGACCGGGAGCTGGCAGCCGTCTCTTTCAGCAAGGAGGACGGCACTAAGAGCATGGTCAAAGACCGCTAAATACATGTATAACACTTCCTTGGGCATAGGGCTGACCAGCCTTGGCAAGGAATTTAAGTGCTATTTCAATCTCTAGAAGGCTGCCTCTGCATCCGGCCCCCATTCAAACATGGTCTTCTTCTTGATAGCTTGGAAAAAGTAAAGGCATTTGTCGCCCGACCGGATGCGGAACCTCCTCAATGCCGCCTGGCAACCCGTAAGATTTTGAACCTCTCGGACAGTGAGGGGAGACTGACCGCCTGTACCTTCTCGGGGTTAGCCTCTATCCCCCTCTGATTAATTAGAAATCAGAGGAACTTCCCAGACTCAACACCAAAAACACATTTTTTGGTATTGAGCATGACCTGGTGCCGCCTGAGTGTGGTGAATGTTTCTCGGAGGTCAGCTAGGTGGTCCGTCCGGAGATTAGATTTAACAACCATATCATCTATGTACGCCTCCACATTTCTTCCTATCTGGTTGAAGAAGACCGTGTTTATCATTCTTTGGAAAGTTGCAGGCGCATTCTTTACTCCGAACGGCATGACAGTATAACAAAAAAACCCCTGATCTGTGACGAAGGTCGTCTTTTCTTGATCTTTCTTCCACAGGGGTATTTGATGGAAGCCGGAGTAGGCGTCCATGAAGCTCATCAAGGCATGGCCGGCTGTAGAGTCGACCAGGTTGTCGATCTTTGAGAGCGGGTAACTGTCCTTGGGACATGCCTTGTTCAAGTCTGTGCAATCTACACACATGCGCCAGGTCCCATTACACTTTTTTAAAAGTACAACATTCGCAACCCAGTCTAGGAAGTAACACTTTCGAATGAATCCTACGTCCAGCAATTTCTTAACCTCGACGACTGCCGCCTGGCTTCGCTCTTCGCCGTGGTTCCTCTTTTTTTGCCTGACGCACTTCTTTTTGGGGTCCACAGCAAAGATTATGTACAGCCAGATCCGGGCTTATGCCTGGCATCTCGTGAACTTCAAATGCAAATACATCTTTGAATTCCCTTAAGAGTTGGTGCAAG